TTTTTGATACTCTCTCATTGAGGAAACTGCACAGTTACAGCCTTACTTGTTAACACAGGAATTCCATGAATAGCTTACCTCAAAATCCTTATACTCTTAAGAAGAGAATTTGCTTGCTTGTTTGTAATTTTTAAATGAGTTCTAATACTCAGGTGGGTTGTGTTGTGGAAGATTTATGTAAACTAAATAAAAGCAACATCATCAGCTCACAGTTTCATATGGAGAGAAAGACTCTGTTTCCTGAATAAAAATCAGTAGTTTTTTCATCTATTCCAGCACACCTGTTCTGCAAAGAGTACTGAACTTCTAACATGTACACGCTGTGTTCCCAGGTACGAATGACAATGTTCTTCAACTGTGTGTTTTATAAAAAAGAGTAGGAAATCAAAAGCATTAGCTTATCGTTTCTCTCATTGGTTAATTGATGAAAAACAGAGAGCCTTGGTGTATAAACCTTTTTTAGTGACAATTTTGTAGCAATGGTCGAAGCTGTTGCAATGAGGAACAGTAACGTGAGTGATGTCAGGTAGGCAAAACAGGAGTATTCCTAGGCACGGCCACAAGGTTTCTGAGGATGGTTCTGCTTTACACATCTGTGTCTCTGATTTTCTTGCAAAAGATGGCATTTCGATCCCCAAATTTAGCAACTTGTGGGGCAAGGTTTCCTGCAAGGTTTCACAAACATTTTACAACTAATGAACAGCTCAAAATGTGGTGCTTGAAGAGTAATTTTTTTTTTTAATTTTAATTTCAAGATCATTCTGCATTTTAGAATTTCGCTTCCTGTGTATCTTTGAAGTCAGAAATATGCCATCCAGTGCCAGCATTGCAAGGTTTTAAAAAAGTTGCTTTCTATCCCACTAGTAATATATAACTAGGAAAGCATCATAGTATTAATGCAAAATATTGATAAAGAAGTAATTTCTATCCAGCAAGTCAGTAAGACGGAGCAAACTTCGCAGGCCTGTGTTGTGCTGTGCTCATGCAAGTGGTTTGTGCTGACGAGGGAGGTGGCTGGACAAACTGCACGCCAGGGCGCAAGACTTTGGAAGCTGATAAACCCCAAATTGCTCCCCTTGCTGCGCCCTCGAGAGCAATTTGGAAAGCAGGAGATTACTTCTGTTACAATTAGCTCAGTGTTTGAATTACATGCTGCTGATGCTGCCTTGGGTCAGCTGCATGGTTTCAAATGAAGAATTCGCTGCTCCCAGGGCACCTCTGGTCCCTTCTCCACCCTCCCACTAAGGGCAAGGACAGGGAATAGCCCTGAAACCAGGGGGCTTCCACTCGTGTGACTCCCGTGTACACAGACCCTTCCTGAGAGCTGCTCTTTTCTCCTGCCTGCTAAAACCTGCAGGGACGGAGACTTCCCCAAAGCAGCTCACTGCTCTTCCCAAGTGCCAGAAAGGTAGGATTTCGGGGGGGTTTTGCACAAACTGCATCCTAATTTATCATTAAGTGACCTTTTCCCTGCCCTTTGCAAGCCCTGATGGTCTCTAACTTCCTGTGTTTCTTTCCCTTCCTAGCTAGCTGCTGGTAAGTAGAAGCAGACACAAGGCTGCAATGAATACTTTGCTTTCTGATTTTACTTCTGATGCGATTATACAGTATATTAAATCATTCCTCCTCTTCCTTTCTTTGTCCCTTATTTAAGTTCTGTCCAAGCTTTCTTTCTTTCCCGTCCCACACCGTTTCCTCCTAACTGGCCTTGCACCAGCAGCTGATAAAAACTTTTATCTAACCAGTTTCAACAATTATTTGGTCTCCTCCCACCTCTTCCTGTTTCTCTCCAAGCTTTCCTCATTTTTTAATTTTATTTATTTATTTTTGGTAGTTTGTTACTTTATGTAGTAAACTACTGTTTTCTTTTATCGTTTTTGCAGTTTTGCACAGGAAGAGCCATCTCACCCCCATGATCCTGTAAGAATTGATTTTTCTGTTTGAGTTTTCTGTTTTCTATAAACTGCAGCTTATCGTAAAGCATTTTGCTCTGGGAAACAGCCTCCCTCCTTCATTTAGCAATAAATGTGTTTTTACCCTCCCTTTTTTTCCTGTTTGGTTTTTCCAGCTGCGTTTTGGTCACCTCTATCTTTCATTATTTCACTTTTCCCTATCACAGCTTAGGTTGAGTCCTGTGTTTTCCCACTACGCTCCTCTTTCCCCAGTGCTTTGTGCACTAGTTTCCCACGCATTGACTTTGCTTTATAACTATTAGGTAGAATTTCTACTTCATCGAGTGAGACTACAATAGTCTTGTTATGTTTAATTTGATGAAAATAAAACTCCATATATATCAGAAATCTGCTTATTATTGTTTTAGAAATAGCTTGTTTTGCATAATATCTTCTAAAATAATATCTCTACTATTTTCTAGTAGAAAGTGAATAAATTCAACACTTTTTGCCTTGAAATACATACAGTAATTCCTTTATGGAAGTGAAGGAAGGGATTTTACTGGAAGACAGTAAAGAAGTTTGTCCAAAAACTCCTTAAAAACAAAACATACGAACAAAAGAAAAACCTGTCCGCAAGACAGCTGCTACCCACTATCTAGAACTAACTGCTCTTTGGTGTTGGAGGTATTTCAATAATTTATAATGATAATATGCTATTCAAAAGTTATATTCAAAGTAAAATATTAAGATACCAAATTTCTGGATTTCAACCAGCCGCTAACAGCTGTCTCAGGGGCTTTACCAGCACTGAGCAATATGCAGCTGATTCATCACGTGGTTTTAAGTACTACAGATTTATGGATTATCCTGAAATATATGTGGTCTGTCAGCTCTTCTGCTGTGCTGCATTTCAAAAAGCATCTGGCATCCTGTGCTTTGTGAAACTGACATTAAAACACGGAGAGCCACTGGAATCAGAGAAAAGGCATTCACTTTTGATGCTTTTATTTAAAACTTCCATGATTTTCAATTACGAATTGAATAGAATGTTCCTATTGTATCTTAAAGAGCAGAATTATAAATCAGAATTTTAAAACTAGTGGATTTTTTCAAGCAAAACAAGGATATTTTAGGGGATGAGTGATATAGCTGTTTAGCACTCAAGATCTGATCACACAGTAGGACTGTCTCGAGAACCTCTTATATGTTGGCATTGCCAAACAGAGCAAGCTTATGTATTTTAATACTCCTTAAGCATTGAGAAGTATTATTCTTTGAGGAAAAAAATAACTCTGTACACCCATGATATGAGGAAGCTTGTAGCTATTTAAAATAGGCTGGAAACAATATAGTCTGTGTGAACACCATCTATGAGCCCAGCTCCGTTGTTGTGAACGAACCAGCAGGGAATATCAATGCCATTCTTGGGATCTTTTCTGTAATCCTTCTGCCAGCCCCTAAAATAGGAAATAAAGTAAGTTTTCAAGCAGAAATTAGGCCGCGCTAAGGCAACGTCTGCCGAATTTGCTAAGACCAGGTTTATTTTCTTACCTTGTTACTGTCAGCTCGTTGTTCTTAATGATCATTGTGGCATCTGGTTTCTTGGGGTCAGACCCAGGATGAATTTCAAGTATGGTGAAGTCAATGGGGTGGAAAAACTGGCCTAGAAGCAGAAGGCAGTATTCCCATTTCAGGATGTTGTGTGTGTTCAAACAAACGAACACCCAAACCACAAAACTCCTACATTTGCTTTATGCAGTTGCTGTAATGAGCACAGATGCTGTTTGCAGAATGAATTACAGAGCCAAATCAGTGATGAGAAAAATGGGGAGGAGAGACGAAGTTTTTGCAACTGCAGCATGATGTAAGCACGTGTCACCTGGGCTTTTTTTGCCCAGCTGTTCTACTCTGAAGTGCATTCCAGACTTGAGAAGAGTAACTTCATAGCAGTTCATTATTTTCCACAGGGAGTGAACTTTCATATTGGCATTTTCTTGCAGAAAGCCTTTCATACTGGCATATTGAAATATTCATATTGAAATACTGAGTGTGCGAGTCATTCATGTGAGTCTGAGTGTGCTGCCTTTCTCTAATGTTGTAAGAGTAACTTGGAAGGCAAGAAAAAATGGCTGCTATTTGTGAAAGCTGACACTACTTCCCAGCAAAAATGCAGACCATCACACTCAGTTGTTGACAAAAAAACATAACTGGGTCAAAATTTTCATCCCTCAATTACCAGCCTTTCCTTCTATTAGAATAAGGAATAGGTTAGCTACTGTGTGGAAAATCCTAGGGGTTACAAGGCGTGCAAAGCAAGATGCTAACTGAAGCCTTACCTAATAATCCATGGGTCTGTTTAGATAGTTTACCACTGTCCAAAGTATAGAGTCCTAAGAAATCCTGGTGAAGAGGATGTTTCTTCCATACTTGGTGCAGAACAATAACAAAGGAGGCCCCGCTGCCCATTGAGAGCACCACATTTTTTTTTCTGTTAATTATCAAGGTTAAACTGAGGAAAAAAGAAAAAAGCTGATTTAGGGCAGTTTGTTCCACAGAGTTAACAGCGATGAAAGGACCTGAGAAAAGAAATGCATCCAAAAAAACCAAGCATGGCTTTATAAACTGCACAAAGCCTTTCAAAATAAAGGTTGTACTGCTTAGCTTGGCCTGTGTGAATTTCTGTGTTCACAGGCAGATCAAGACTCAAACACAGTGCAAGAGGCTACCTTGCTTTTAAATCTGTCAGGAATTTTTTTTCAAAAATTACTCCTATGCAGCACAATTAATCACAGGTAAGTCAGTGCCATTTAGGTACAGTAATTCATACTCATTAATAAAAGTGCTGTTGATAAAGCCCTCACTTCTTCCCTGACACCTTTTTGTTTTTCAGACAAGAGGACTCCTGAATCGTGTAGGTCAGCTCCTAAGGGTCCAAGGGTAGTACTAGGGCAAAGGCAACCTGCCTCTGAGTGTGCAGGTGATATCACCAACAAGGCTGACATAATTAAAAGTATATATATAGTAAGTACCATGTATGAAGGACTCTTTTGCTCTTTCTGTTACAGTTTCATGCTCGGAGAATATGACCGTGTTTCAGGTACACGGCAAAAATGTGGAGGAGGAGGAAGAGGTCCCATCATTCCTTTTTTTAAACCTTGTCTTGCACAGGTATAAATGATTCTACAGTAGAGAAGTCTCACAAAAAAATATACCTGCTCACGTGAGAAGCTGGTCCAATAATATCAAAGATTTCCACTTCTTAGAACGGAGATTGGTTGCAACACATAGTTTTATCTTTTGGAAGATTCCATTACTTCATCTACATTTATTCCTTACGGGTTTGCTAGGCACTGTTGCATTAAGCGTGACACCAAATCTAGCTTTATTTGAGCTTTGCTAACAGAAAATTAGGGCAACTTTTGCTGTTATTTTCTTCAAGGATAGAAATTTATGAGTTGACATTCAGCAGTTGTATATCAAGGTATGGAGCAGGACCCAGCAAGAACCAGTTTCTTTTCTATATTCAGACAATGTATCTTAAAAATATATTACTGATGAATGACAAAAAGACAAGTAATAGTGCAGGAACTTCATATTCTCTCTGTAAGCCTTACCCTTCTTGCTGTAGGGTGACCGAGTCGAGCCAGGTGAATCCTGTCTTTTCAGCACCGTTCTGAACTGTGATCTTCTCAGGAGTCACCATCAGTCTTATATTCAGATGCTTATTTGTAATGCCAAGCTTTCCAAAATAAGTATTCTGGATCTTAGAGTCATTGTTTGCTTTCTTATCACCAATAAGCTCTCCATTGACTGTGATACCTAATGGAAAAAGGAAATGTAAAATATTGCTTTATAGATAGGACCTGATCAACATGTGGCAATTTAACAACGGTTCCAGGAAACAAATACTTTGACTGTTTTGCTTGTGCCAAAGCAGAGCAAAGGATTAAAGCCACGGGGGCTGTCCTGTAGATTTCCACCAAGAAGGGAAGCACCTTATTGGAAATAACTCATTATTTCCTAGAGTACAGACAGCCTTTGTGCCATGACTCTCTCTCTGTGCTTGGTATTCCATGAAATGGCAACGTAGGGATTATTTTCTTCTACTTCCAATCATTGGAACAAGTTACACCTCTCAGCTCTCACAGTGGTTTTCAAGCAAGGTTAAGAAGATAATTTTCCTTCAGGGAGTGAAAACAACTCTGATAGATGTGCTAATGACACCTATCACAGTTATAGTAACTCCTAGTAAGTTTGCTGGAAAAAAAGCTTACACAGTATAAAAAGAGAGAAATTACCCTTAAATGTGAGATATTTAGTTGTAAGTATCCTAATTTACTAAATCTTAAAAACAAAAAAGCTCACCTGTAACTGGGTCCTTTATTAAATTTAACACAGCACCAGGGTTTTCATTGATATTGAAACAAATGGCATCTTCTTTTTGTGGCACAGCTATGATGAAGTGTGGGTCTCCATCGACTGTAAACACAAATCACTAGTGTTTGCAAAGCGCTGCCCAAGCTCCGCGTCCTGCACGAGCGCTCAGGCTGTGGCAGTGACTCTGCTGCTGCCCCAGACCAGCTCCATCCTCGAAAGAAGTGAGGGGGTCCCCAGGGGGCTGCCACCACCTCCCCAGGCTGAGGTATCTCCTCCTTCCCCTCGTGAAACACCCATGCTGTGACCCCTGACCACTTCCAATTCGGTAGGTGGCTTCAGGATGGGCAACTCCAGTTTGAAGAACAGGTAACTCTTTTTGTAAACAACAATTATTATCTCTGAGAGCAATGAAAGTTAGAGAGAGGGCAGGAAATCTATTTGGGCAGAGAACAGGCAGTTACTATTACAAAGCCCAGCAAAGGGAGGGAGGACTGAGGAAATGATTGTAAATAATCTCAGTGTTCTATATATTAGTGATGCTTAAACTAAAATGCTAGCCCACTGGGAGCAAAAATGACTGCTTTTGTAGAAAGGAGTTTCTGAAAGACTGATTATAATGGTGCAGGTTAGCCTTAAATACCCTGTTTTTTCTTCCAAAGTAACTCACCACTAGTATACCATGGAGGGCTTAACGCTGATGTAACAATGTAAGATGGTGCTAGAGCTGTGGGGAATTGAAGAACAAAAATTGTCAGAAAAACTAACATCAAAATGGAATATTTACACACTATCTATGTGTTAAGGTACCGACAAATTAATATGATGTCTAAATTGCTAATTTCAAGTATAGTCTATGCAATAGTGGTTTGTACTCTTTTTAAATCAAGAAAATTTTCTGAGTGGACACAGATATCTTTTATAGGCTGGACTGCTCTGAGGGGTTCCACAAAGCCATGTTTGTAGCAATGCAAACATCCCAGATTTTAGCCAAAAGCAGAGTGAGAAATGTACCACCTCCAATGAAACCTTCTCGGGGTTTGGTATTTTGTTTTGTCAGAATGAACCCGAGACTTTTTAAAGACTTGAGAAAACTAGACAAAGAGAGAGAGAGAGAGTGATTGATCTCCAGAAAAAAAAAAAAAAAAAAAAAAACTTTCCCATTTCCAGAAAAGGCTCAAGCAGTGACCTGAAGAATCAATTTCTGTCTTACGCTCTTCTTTACATATAAGTAGCTGAAAACATTAACTAAACCAGAGATGCTGCTATCATATCCTGCACAATGAGTAATTTCCAGGAAGACGGAATTCAAGTCCATGCCCTGTATCTAGGACAGAGGTTTCAAGAAAGATGTCAGTTTGTCATTTACTCATAAAAGGCTATTTAGCTAAAACTTCTTCCAATCTGGTGTAGCTCAATCTTTAAAGATGTTTTTAGCATTTAGAGCAATCTGGCATCAGTTGTTTATAAATAAAGTTGTAAAGCCAGATGAAGCATCTTTTCTCTCTCCAGTCATTTCAGTTGTCTGAATCAGTTTCCTTTAACAGATGCTGCTTCATTCAGAAATTCAAACATATGACTTACCATGGTGAACTGCTGGGGCAGACGTTGCTGTAAATAAAACAATACATTATTTTAGAGGCCAGAAAGAGTAAATAACAATCTCTCCCACTTATTCTTTCTTTCAGCCAAAAGCCCCCTCGACCCTCAAACAATCTCCAAATTTTGTGAGTACATATACATTTTATTTTAAACATTCAAACTTAGTCAAGACCTTTAATTTATTTATTGCCTTTTTTTTTGTACTGCAGCAAAGCAAACTATGAATGAAGTCAACACTGCATCAACAGGGAAAATGCAGACCCTTACGTTTCAGCAAAAATGTTGCTCCTCAAAAGCCATGAGAGTGACTTTATCCCCAGCGATCTCTAAGGAGGCAGAGTCACCTCCTCCTGCTCTTGCTGTCTCCTGTCATTCTATTCTATACTGCACTGCTGAAAGTGAGTAAAAATCATCCACCTGTTCCCATCGTTTTCTGCTCTTCTGCTCTCTTTACACTGTGAGAGCAAAGGCCTCTCAGGATGAAGAATCTCCTACACGGAGTTACCTGGGAGTCCTGCAAAGTAACTCGGTTTTATCAGGCCTGACTGTTGCAATGCTGGGACACTGCAACTACTAGAGGTAGGAAGAGCCTTTTAACACTGAAAATTTGTTTAGAAAATTATCTAACCGAAAGTGTTTTAATGTAAACACAACATAGCCTCAATTTATTCACTCAGATTATTATGAAACTATATGTCATAGATCAAATAAATTATGTACAAAACCTACCTCCAAGAGGTATAAATAAAAGGTAAATTTAGTAAAAAACATACATACCTTCAGCTATCACCATGGATGGATAAGAAAGGGAAAAAAAAGAAAAAGAAAAAAAAGAAAAAAGAAGTTTCAGTCATACAGCATGGATTGTAACACTGTTAGTTGGTATTCTAGAAATATATATAAATATATAGTTTGATGTTTCAGCTATATCTCTTTAGTATTTTGCAATTTCATATTTTTCTACAGATAAAATTGGATGTGTGCGACTGAACATAAACACCAATTTATTGAGCCTGAAGTTAATAATTAAACACAGTACTAAACGAAATGAGAACAAATTGTGCAATTTCAGCAGAATTACTTTCCTTTCTGCAATATACATAAATTCTGTGTCTATGCAAGTAATCTTGCATAAACCATGTATGTGCAAGGTTTAGAAGGTAGATTTTTCAGATGCATGTTTAAAACTGTGCCCCATGTAATAGCCTTTCTGTAAGGCAACACCCTAGGAACACCCGGGTTCTAAAGGGTGAAAATGCCTCTACCTTCAGTGGGTTTATCAGCAATCCCAGCTTGATTTTCCAAGTCTTCTGGCTTTGTCACCACCATGGATGTCAGTGGCGTTACAAAGTTGTATTTTAGTGAGAGATCCAGGGCTTCAGCTGTAAGATTCTCCTTTTCTTCTCCTGTAGCTGCAATGCTGAATGTAGAGAGAAACTGCTAGCATCAATGATTGCTAAAGTGCTCACCGAACTCTGGATCAAATATCTTTGTCAAGCTGAAGTCACTTCTCTGCAGCTGATTTATCAAGAGGGAATATTTGTTGCATTGTAAGATCAGTTCTGATTCCAGTGGATATCTGGGAGCTGGCAAAACTGTGCTATGTATCTACAACATTCTAAATTGCTTGATTTGCAATTTGGAAAGGGATTTTGGAGGTAGGGAGGAGAAGAGGTTGAGAGAGTTATTCTACCTTTCCTTTTAATTTTCTATTTGCACCTCAATCCAATGATGAGTGAAAACAGGCAAGTAGTTCTGAACTGCATATTCACATCTCAGTAGTTGCAGCAGGCAAACTACCTAATCCTTTCACAGAAGATGTTACTCTAGATACAATTACCGTTTTTCCAGTAGTTGCTCAATGGTGAGATAAGCCCACAGCCTTTCAATGTAATCCCCAAATATGTATTGTTGTTCTTCAAAAGCTTTAGCCGTTTGTTCAGCATCTTGATGTGTAGTAAAGGACAGGGCATCTTCAGGCTGTTAGAAATAAGGAAACTTCTGTGCATCACAAATATTCACGAACTTGCAGAATCCTTCAGCCAAGAGCTTCACATTTGAAAACCTTTCTAAATTGAAGAATATTCTGGTACTATTCAGATGCAAGCATTTGCCCAAGAAACTTTGAAATTTCTATCAGTTTTGTATGTGCCATTTTGATTCCTTATAATTTGGCTAGGTAGAATTTCAGGTATTTTTATTATAATGCCTATTTTCAGGCATTTTGCATAGCAAGGAAATACCTTAATCAGTTAAAGAAATCCATACTTACACCTTCACCTTTCACATCTACAGTCAAGCTGTTCTGGTTATGGTCTGTAAAGCGCCCAGCCACCACAATCTCAGACCCATCATAGAAATGTTTAAAACTGTTTTTAGTTAGGTCAGATATTTCATTTTCTGGGTAGTTTAACTCCACATCTGTAAGCATGGGTCTGGACACCTCATCATAAAAACCCTACAGGATTCAAAAAAAAAGAAAGGAAAAATATTTAAATAATGTTTGCTTCTTTAATTCATAGTTAGATTCACACCAGGAATATCTTGCTGAAACTGTATTGTATAGGAGATAAGTAAATAGCCAGTTAAATCTGAGAGGAAAAGCCTAAAAAATATATAAATAATGCAAATGAGAGAGGACATACAAACTCTCCAATTTCTGGAAGAGAAGGGGGAAAAATATCCAAGAGCAATGTGAACAATGTGGATGATGGGTCACATCAGATAAGCCCCAAACTTCCCCCTGTTTGATATAAGTTCCTAGACCTCTTCCTTTGAGAGCCTGAAATGACAGTGTAAATTGAAGGACAGCAGGCAGAGCTTGCAGTGAAGTCCAATACCCAGATTCTTCGGGCATTTATTCCAGCGCATGCTGACGGAATGAGAGAAGCCAAAAATCAGCTCTTTGCTGCCTGCACCCACTGTCATTTCTTGTATGACCATAAAATGTTTCAGAAGTGTGGTGCAAAACACCTGCTTGCAGCAAGTCCCTAAAGACAGACAGTCTTTCAGCTCTGCCACTCTTCCCTTGCTATGACATTAGCTACATGATCTGTGAGTTGTGGGGTAGTGACTGGCACACACCAAGGTGCCCTTCAGAACTAAGCCTTGTATCATCCCATGACAAATTTTTAACCCTCTTCTACAGACCAGGGCATCTCCCTTTCATGGTCATTCCATTTTCTGGTTATTTAAGAGAAGGAGAGTATGAAATGCAGTGAGTGTTCTGATTACAGCAGACTGAATGTCTCAGAACCACAGTATACTCTGGGCTTCCTGATTATTTGAAAATAAAATGTCTCCATAGTTATCTGAATTAATCTATCTCTGTTCTAATTTAAAGGATGATTATTGTACCTGAAGTTGTAAAGCTGAATCAGAGTCAGGATAAATCCGGCGGGCCAATCCTTTATTCTCCAGTGCCATCTTCTCCAAGAAGTTGTAGTCAACACCATAGCCAAAACCAAGGTTGTATAATGGATATTTTCCTTCAATGGCTTTTTTCACAAGTGTTTGAATTTCCTGGGTGTTTGATATGCCTGCCAGAAACAAAATACTTTGTTTCCCTATTGCTTTTGTAAATAGGTAAACATAACATAAAATGAAATGTGGATAGTGATGCTTAGATTTTTTTTTTTAAGAGGCATCATCAGAGGCTTGTTTTAGTGATGTAGTGGCATCTAAATCATGCAAAGAATCAGGCCAATGCCTCCACAAGTCAAAGATGGTGGCCAGTTTTGTGAGCACTTTTCCGCAGGTGAATTCATTTATTATTTCAGTGAACAGGAACTTACCTACATTTGGTTGCCCATCTGTTAGCATGATAATTATAGAAGCACTTCTCTTGGGCACGAGGTTTTCTTCATGAGCAGCATTCAGCATTTCAATTCCCCTCATTAAACCACCATGTAGATTTGTCACTGTGAGGTAAACACAGAAATTTGGTTTCAACACAGATGGTCAAATTTAGGACTGCTTTACACTGGAAACTGATGAGGGGTTATGTGGAGGAACAGACATGGAATGAGTAAGGATTATCCTCACTGCAGGCAAATGTACCTTGGAGTGTGCTCTAAAGCTGTGTGCTTTAAATTCTCTTCCCTCCTTTCCCCCATGACACAAACTGCTGCAGGTGGCCTCAGGTCACGCTCATGCATCAGTGATCAGAAAATTTGGCCTCACTCATAAAAATACAATGCAAAATTGCCTGGTGTTTTAGAATGTGAGTGGGAAGAGTCCCAGTGATGCATCCATCTATTTCTAATTCCTTTTAACAGGGACCCCTCTGTTTGATAAATCCATGTAAACTATTCAGGTTTTGTGACTTTTCCTTAAAACTTGTCCGCTGCTCAATTCTTTTGATTTTTTTTTTGCTCATTTTTTTCTGAAGGAGAGAACCTCAAGACAGTTAAGTGCTTCTTAACCCTTAATCCTTGGATGAAATCTGCAGTAGTATGTTCAAAGATTGAACTCATAAATTAACTTAGCAACCCGACCTATTTGCAAGTCCAGTGAAGTACTTACAGCCATCAGCGATAATGCCCCGAACAAAATTCCTTGCTTCATCCAAATTCTCAGGAGTGGCCTTGATTAAAGATTCTTTCCAGGTGTGTACTTCACTACCAAACAGTATGAAATTGAAGTAGTCCTCATGTTTAATATCATCTAAGATTTTCAGAAGTGCTTCTCTTGTCTATAAAAGCAAAGAAATTTCAATTGATTTAATTAGTAGAAATTCAGTTGATCAGAAATGGACTTTTACAACTTGTACATGATTAATCTTTCAAGGCTTTATTTTGTTTTGCCTACACAGTATGTCACGCACGATTCTGAGCTTGATTCTGCCCTTTTTGGTTCTTGGGTCTACTTCAGAGTAGTGAAATCAGCAACTTGCAATTACATCCGGTAAATCTATGTAGCCGAGAAGAAAATCAGGTCTTACATCAGTGCTGACTGTTTACACTGATCTAGGTATTTTGAAATAATAAAATATATAAATAAGTAAAATATAAGCTAAATATATAAAATTTTGTTCTGTGTTAACACTTCAAACTACTGCTTTTGGTAGTGAGCATCAGCAAGATCACAGCACAAGCAGCTGCTGTAGCTTCAGCAAAATGTTCTGTTGAGTCCATTCACACCCCCTCCACTTTTTCACTAGTGGCCATTCAATGAGGATTTTATACTTATGTAATAACTTACCTGTTGTATTTCTCTTCCAGACATTGAGCCACTAGTATCTATTACAAAAATTACATTCTTGGACAAGTTTGGAAGATTTGTTGGTGCAAAGAAGTGCACAAAGTAGCCATTGACAATCTGAAAAATAAAGATAAAATCCAGAAAAATACTTTACTTTGAACTTGCCTCATCACTAAAGACTTGCCTGGAGATCACTGGGGCTGTGTCTGTCCGTGGTTTCAATTAATGTGTGTGCTAAGCTATCCAACAGTTCAACAATGATGTCAGCTAATTTACCTGCAAGTTATCTGGAGTTGTTCTCTTCACATCGTATTTCACAATAAGATCTCCATCCAAGACAGACTGTGAGCCACTTGCACCTGTGCGCTGCTGATCAAGGGTTGGTTTGAAAGAGACAGACCCCTGGGGAAAAAAAGAATATCAGATGTGAGTATTAATAGCTGAAAATGTTCTACAGAACCAAAGCAGCTTATGTTTATGTATAAAGACCAGTATATTTATATTCAAAGGCAAGGAAATAATCTGTTTTATCAGGTCAGGCATTAGTTTGTATTCATACTTACGAGATGTGAAGTATAAAACGGTGCTACACAGAGCACTTGTTCCTATTTTTTTCTTTCCACTCATCCCCAGTTCAGCCCTCCAGCCTCAGTAGCTTCCTTTTTTTGACAGGGCCATTAGGCAGCCTATGCCTTGGGACTTCTCTTAACACCTCTGTGCTTGCTAAAACTGCTACCAACTTAGCTCTTCTGTATGAATATTCCAGTTGCTTTTAGCTACTGCTGAGGGACAAAGACTATTAACTCAGGTAACGCTAACACAACCACGTGGCTTCTGCACAGAGCAGAGATGGCCATAACCTCACTATGTTGGAATTCGGAGATCACTGGTATAGATAAAACTTTACTGCACTTTCTAGGTGGTGGTGTTCTTTTGTTTTTTCCCTCCCACCTCTATAATTAGCCAAATCAGTACTTTTGCATCAACATTATGTCTGTAACTGTAATATGTAAATTATGAATGTTGCTACTTTTCCTACCTTTTTTCCTGAAGAAGTTTTTCTAAGGATATCTTGTAGGTCATTGGTGATGAATGTCCCTTCTGCTTCCAGATCACTGATACCTTGGGGCTCAAAGATATCTACTTCAATCTGAAATATTAATTGAATATTCATTGTTATTGATTAGTGTCAAGACAGCCATTTACAGGAGGATCATCAGGTAACCGTTGTTGTGAAATAGCGATTTTTCTTAAAAGCAAAAGAAAATTACTTTCGTAATTCAAAATTGAAGTCTACACCTACTGTTTTATCAAACATGCCATCAGCCAAACGGCGCATATTTTTTCTATATAGAACTACATTAAAAACAGGAAAATATTTATAGAAATATAACTTGTTTGAAAATTAGTTACTGGAATTTTGTCAAATGTCAAATAAACACTCAAGTTGTATGACTCAGCCATTAGCTGTGAACCATGCCCAACTTTGACCTATACTTTAGCATGTCTTTTGTCAGGTGTTCTAAGTAATTCTTTAAAAATTCTTATGCAGGATGTGTTTTGCGATGATTCTAACCTTCTTGCGATGATTCTAGTGTTTTCTGAACACACACAGGAGAAACACTTTGCCCTACAGATGAGAAACACTTTGCCCTACAGATACAGCCCTACAGGTTTTAGCTGGGCAGATAAGAGCACTCAAAGACAAGTTTTGGCCCACACAAACCATTCTAGAATGTGCTGTCTGTATTCCTGTAATTGCACTCAAGGTAGTTTCATGGTGGGGTGAAAAAGGTGCATGTTATGCTGTGAAGGCACTTGTGAAAGAGCTATTAGTCTCTTCTTCTGTCCCAAGTCATCTTAATGGCTTTTTCAGGTTCCAGTGTATGTAGGAACTCAACCAGCCTCAGACTTATAAATAAAAAAACTGCTATGATGCAAAATGGTGGAGCCCCCACACAGTTCATTAGAAATATTACTGTGAGTCTTACACTCCTCTGTGAGCCAGTGGGAATGACTGTGATATTCTGCTTTCCACAGATGTACAGAATCTTGTCATCTCTTAAGTTGAAGCACTAGATTTGATACAATTAGCCATTTACCTCAAAAATTCTGACAAGCTGCTTTGGTTTTACTTTGATGAACATCTCATATTTCCCGAAGTGGCGCTTCAGCAGTTCCTCGTATGTGAGTTCAAAAATGACTTTGCTGGCTGCTGCAATGTTAACTGAGACACTGAATCTTTCTGTCTTTCTTCCTGAAGCCCTGTATTAGTTAAGTGGATATGAAAAAAAAACAAAACAAACAAAACCCACAGTATCTTTACTCTCTTTTACGATATTAAGGGCTTGGGGAACTTGATGTGGTTCAACTTTCACAGAGGAGTGTAACGAAGATGTGATTTTTTTTCCATCTGTTCCTAAACCTATGCTCAAACAGCACAGAACTTATTCAAGTGGCCCAGTGCTTAATCACAGGAGCAGGTCATACAAAATCAGTAACAGTGGGAGAAAGAATCTTTCCAAAACTGCTGATACAGCCCAAGTTATCAGAAGTTTTATCTCCCTTTTTATAATTTAGCCTATAGTAACTTAACAGTTGCTCTTGTGCACTGTAAAACACGGACTTCAGAAATCTGCCACAGGAAGGTATTACCAATTTCCTGACTTGCTGTAGGATTACGGTGTGGAAGCCGTGCATAGCACTCTTACTTGACAAGACCGGCGGTCTGTCCCTGCGAAACAGCTTTCTCATATTGCTTTTTTGCAACTTCTTTTTCCTTTATATTTCCAGGGTAAGTGACACCATCAATTGTCCTAGAGGTAGAATAAATATCTAGTTTAGTTGAATGGCTTGCATGGATACATTGAGAATTATAATAGGCAGTTCACTTTTTACTAATTGTTTTGCTAAAATTCTTTTGTTAAAAGGTTTCCTAAACTTTCAGCAACCTGGTCTTGCCAGGATTTAACCACTCTCTATTAAGCAGGAACCAGCCTTCCCTATGACTTCAGCTGAAATGAAGAGCTCTGTGGTCAGTATCTTAGAGAACCTAAAACAATTCTTACCCTGAAAATGAATTAGGTCAAAACTAGTGCGATAGTATTTATACCTGCCAAATTCCTATATTTTAGCAGCTTGGTCATCTTGTTTCATGTAACAGCAAGATGACTGTCTAGTTGAGATTCATCTTTCCAAACGTAGCTGTCTACACTGGAGTATTTCATTCTTAAACTTGGTGCTATTAAACAAACATTTCTCCTGTGAGATTGATCTCATCCTAAATAGAAGTTCTAGGCTAAAGTAGATTAAATATGTCCTAAAAATGACTATTTCTCTCCACTGAAAATAAAACAGGCATAGTGTGACCAGCTGAGACAGAGACATCTAAGCTAAATGAGATAATTGTGTGAAAACTGCATATGATTCCAGCTAAAGTAACAAATGTAGAGAATAATACCCTCTATTTCCTGTCTTTTGTTTTCCAGATTTTTGGCTATTATACTCCAATACAATTCTAAAATGAAGAGATAAATTGAGCTATAACGCCATCAGCAAGATTAGGCAATGGAACATTTCTAGTTTGGTAACACCAGAGCAAAATAAGCAATATTTATGACAATGTGAATGGATCCCCAGAGCAGATCCCCCATTCCCTTAGAGGCATGGATGATGATGTATTGGTCATTTTTTCTATAGATGGACCAATGTTTGAATATCCCCAAATATCTTGCATGTTTAGTTAATAATACTGAAAAATTGCCCAAGAGACATTTAGAAATCTATCAATAGCAAAGTAAAAATTAACATTCTAGTTCAATTTCTCCCAGTTATATTCAGATTTGGAGTTTATTCTAGAAGTATTGTAGCTATTACACACATGCTGAAGTTGGTAATGAAGGCAGTCTTCGGGAGCTCAACATCAAAGACGACTTCTTTGTGCACGTTTCCATGATTGATAGCTTCACTGGTGATGACATTGCGGGCAAATCGGGAAGTTATTTTACTATCAATTTTCATGCTATAGATTTCTATGTCATTGACAACCTGTAGATTGAAAACACGACAAAAGAACTGTTACACTGATGTCTCTGACACAGACATAATGACTTTTTGGAAAAGAAATCACTGTAGGGCACTCTATCCTTCCAATGCATAAAAGAACTAACCATGTTCATAAGGATTGGGGCATAGCTGTGTTTCCTTAGGTACCTGTAATACTTCCACTATGGTGCTATTCCATGAATCATAACTAGAGCTTATTTAACAAAATGTTACCAATGAGGGAGACACATTGTCATTATAAGAACTGTTTTTCCCTCTCCTGGACTGCCTTTTGTGTGTGACTACTCAAAGGGAGACAGCACAAGCACATACAGAGTGTTGGTCTGTTCATGACTGCTGTTACCAGCTGAGGAGACAACTCTTGGAACAGACAGTCATTTTGTTACAAAGGGATCAAAGCAATTCCACGTGGACTCCAAATTCTGCTTTATGTTATTTTCAGTTTTCTCATGGTCAGTTGGCAACACGGGCTCATTTTTCTTAAGCAAGGAAATGGGTAGGACAACATATATTTTCTTTGAATGTTCAGATGCAGTGTTTCTGGAGACTATAAAAAAGTAGAGGTAACAACAGACATGACTCGTGAGGCAACCGCAGCAACAACGTTTGCTGCTTGTGGCAAAACAGCACTGGAAGAAACCTTGTGACTTTTTTTGTTTTGTTTTGTTACACTAGGCCTGATCTCAGGCTGGTTAAGTAGGTCTCCAAACATGGCTGAAGTGGAGTCCAGGTGCCAAGCAGAAGCAGCCTCAGAAATCAGGCTTCACACCCTCCTCAGAAATAACTAAAACAACACAAAATGGATTTCTGTGAGAGATGCAGAGGTGGCTTCAAACAGTTTTGCTATTTATTAAGATACCCTGTGACTTTTTTTTAAACATTTGTGCAGGAATTTCTATCAGAGCTTGGAAAAGAACTGTCTAGTTGTCCTAGTGCCCAAAACAAGCAACTCTGCACTATTCCCTTTGCCACACATAATGAGACTGGGTTCACGGTGCCATGCTGTAAACACAGTATCTTCTTCTCACTGTTATTTGAATCGTTCATAGCAGGCTCAGCAAAACCAAGCTTTCATTACAAGGGAGACTACTCACCAAGTCATTATCAGCACTTCGCTTCTGCAAGACAAAAAAAAAAAAAGACAGTAAGAAAAAAGGTCATCACTAAGGCAGGAAAGCTACATTTAAAAATAAATTACTAAGCAGCTATGCTTCCAAGTCAAAAGAAATTTTCCAAGAGGGAGCAGATGTCAAAAACGTCCTTATCAATAAACTGAACCTTGATTCACCCTTCTGTCATTGCAACATATTGCATGTAATTTTTAAGGTGTAAAAATTGGGTCTGGTTGTAGAAGAAGATCTAGCAGAAATTTCAGGGAAGAGCAAATGAGGTGTTCAGAGCAGGTGAAATTATTTTGCTTCTAGTATCCTCAGTCCTGGTGAATCTTTTGGTTGTGATTTGGTATCAGTGCACTTTAAATACTGTGGCCTTGGAAGCTAAGCTACATTTTAAAGATAGCTGATTTTTTATTTTCTTTAAATTACCCTTAATAAGTTTTCTCCATTCAGTTGAAAAATAATTATGGACAGCCTGAGAAATGAGGTGGGAAAAGTCTGAATGTACAGGGTCATTTATATTTAAATGTTACTGAGACTACAGAACACACTAAAATCTGCTTAATATTGTTTCTTTGAGGCCTCTGTGGAAGACTGCATGTATATTTGCTATATTTGCTCCCACAGAAGATGCAAATAACAGCTCCACAAAAACATGATGTATAGTCTCGTGTTAAAATAGTGGTTTATGTAAATCGGGGAAGAGCGCTGTTTCAAAGTGAATTCCTGTAAGTTCAACAGCAAAGTCCTTATCTCTTTTGGCTTTAAGAGCCTCCTGGTTTACATTTTGTGCAACATTGGCTTTTCAGGTTTACATAGCCCACCAAAGGGGCAAACACACAGAGATATCCAATCAACACATCTTGGATACCTTTTAATACTGCAGTAACCTTTTGCAGCTGAGACTTACAGAGGATTTTGTTTGTTTTTCCTTAAGATATCTATATATAAATCCATGGCAATGCACAAATTTGGGCAAGGCTTCTCAGATTTTGTGTCGCTCTGGACAAGAAAAAAATCCTCTCTGTGTACTTGCTGTCTGCATTTATATTTCAAACTTTTATCTCCACACTAGTGATTTCTATCTGTACCTATCTCCCGTTTGTTTCCTTTCCTGTTTTTTTTTTTTCATTTTTTTCAGTGGCTCTGTAGAGTTAACTACCATTCAAATCCTTCCTTTCCAAAACTGAAATTATCTTCCCTACTACTGACCCTATTTCTCCTTTCTCCATGGCTCTAGCTTTTTCATTTCTCTTTTCTGATGATACACCTATCCCTAAGTGGAAACTCCTCTCTAACCTCCTGCAATTGCCTTGAAAACGGAGCTGCAGTTGAGGACAGTGCATATATGAGGACATATTTATGACTCTGGCCCTCTTATATAGTTTTCACTAGAATACAATCAACCCCCAATTTTTCTACTCCTTTTTCTTCCTGCATGTTTGGTTCAAATGAATGGTTTCCGTTACAGCTTTCTGAACACCAAAGCAAGTAGTGGAGTTGTCACACTGTTTTAACAACACTCATGACACAGTATTTGCAGAGGGAAGTAGTGCCTTTTATTAGATCAACAGCTAGATCTCTTATTAGTCTGATAAGTCCTTTTCTTTTTTCTGATTGTATCTGTCAGTCTAATAAAAGATACTATCTTTTTCTTGCAAATTGCATCACCGAAGAAGATGCATCTGAGTTGTCATTATAGTTAATGATTTCCCATTGTAAAACACAAACTGTGGTACGGATTTGGGAAATGAAAAGCTGAAATTTTCTCAAGCATTAGTTTGCTTTGAACAAATTCTTCCTTCAAGTGAACTTACACTAGCTTTAGAGCATAAAATTTAAATAAAATAAAATAAACCTGTTCTTTAGTTATAATACAGATAAATTCTGCAATTGTTACTATGGCCTCCTAAATTAAAAAATATCTGTGTGTTATTTTTACAAAATAACTGTTGTGCAAGCTCTAGATCAGAACTGCAGGTTCTATGGATTTTGGAAGAGTTTTGCATAACTTGATTGCATAACTATTTTTGGGTGCACTCTGCCATTATCTTTGGAAAAGAAAATACAGAAAGGTTTTTCAGTGAAAGGTAATAGTAGCTTTGCACCTGAGCTGATTCTTTACATTCTTAATGATGCACCTGGATGTAGACAAGAACTTCACTAATATTAATGTTATTTTAACCTATGTGGGCAGAAAGTGATGGTGTCCCATGAAAAAATATACTTTCTGCAATTCTAGAACAATATGAGATTTTAATATATTACGACTTGTGTAATTACAGTTATCTGATAAAAATATATTACAGTATTCCACATATTTAGAAGTGTACTCACTATTAGAATGCTTGATTTTCAGTTCAGGAACAGTGACAAATTCTGCTTTTGATTGATTAATATTGTCTTGTCATAGCAACAGCAAAGAACATGGGTGCAAGCAATATATAGAAATAGGAGAGAAAATTAGAGAAAAAAAGAAATTTGCTCTTAAGAAAACAGGGAAAGTAAAGAGGGCTCTGACTACTGAAAGAAGGCCTGATTTTAAAGTTTGGGAAGCAAATTACCGCATAACCAAAAGATTTGACAGAAACTATAGAGTTAACTTGTAGTGACTTCCTTTTTTAGGAATGCCTAGCCCTGAAGGAGGTACTTGCATGTGTTCCTATGTATGTGGGAAAAGGAGGGCCTGAAAGTGAGTGCCCAGTTGACAGCAACAGCCCAAGGAATGCTAAATAGAAATGGAAATCCCAGAGAAGAGACCACAATGCAATTAAACTGGGAAAACTGAACTTTCCTATGGGACCTATGTAGGAGTTTCTCTACGTAGACTGAGAGTCATTTAAGAGAGGCTCTATCATTGCTACCCATGCTTTCAATAAATGGTCCTAGTGGTAGTTTTTAATCCAGGAAAAAAAAAATACCATTCTTATTAGCTGTGAAACACAGAGACACAAGTGAGCTTTAAGTGTTTTGATTTGGATTGTCCAAGTTTCAGCAAATTTAGACCTGCTAGTCATACCTATCTGACCATAATTTTAGAAGTGGCATTGACAGCATAAAGATGAGCAGCCACGTACCAGACTCAGCCACATTTTATCACTATCACCTGCTCAGGGGAGCTTAAACAGGGACAGGGACCGAGAGTGACTTCTTGATTTCAACAAAATTACATTTGCATAAAACACGTGATGAAGAATCACATGGGATTCTTCTGGGAGAAGACTCAATCTTTTCTGCAGTGTTTTGCAAGTACTGATGGACTACAATACACAACTTCCTCCCTTACTCAGTTAGAAAGGCTTTAGCATTAGGAGAAATACAGAGACCAACAGATAGTATGTTAAGCAGGAGGAAAGAGCTACCACATTATATCTAGGCTGCATAAAGGTTAAACAGTATAAATCCATGGCATTCCTAATTTGCAGCTATAAACCTCAAGCTGATTTCAAACCATTAGCTATGGTATTAGCCTGATTTTCAAAGAATTTTCAGACCTATGCCAGCACCCGCTGTTTCAGACGACTAAATAAAAGACCGCTAGAGTATCTGTGACTATGTTTAGGTGATGATGATGGGAAAGGAAATGGAGGTAAGCGAGCCCATATGTAAGGATCTTCAAAGCCAACTCAGAACTGAGGCTGGTTATAGGTAAAGTGCCTGAAACATCGAGCCCCAGGTCTGATCTTGTGTCTGCCGATCCCAGCAAGCACGAAGCTCCTCGGGCATCACCGCAGGAGGTCCCCGATGGCTGATGCATCGCAGGAAGGTAACCCACGAAGCAGGGGAGCCCCACACACAGCTGGTCACTTACCTTGACGCTTCTGAAAGGGGGGATCAAAAAGTCTGGTGATCCAAAGGCAGGAATCAATAATAACAGACAAAGCAATAGATGCTTTTCCATTTTGGAAAAAAATAAGCTATTCTAATCTGAAGGATACAGGCAAATAAATAACACTTTGTTTACAGAGTGTTAATAAATAACCAGGCCTGAGAAGCGGGGTTAAATATTTGGCCTAAGTGGAAAAAAAAAAATCAAATACTGCATTTTGGATGTGTAACATCTATGGTGTGCAGGAGGGTAAACTTACACAAATATTTTGGCATGTCTCTGCTGCATAGTGTTATTCCCAAATTCAAGAGCCATTTCTGTGCAGGTGACCAACGCTCACCTTCCGTCTCCAGGAACACCTCTTTCCAGGCTAAAACTGTTGTCTTTCTGGCACCTTCTTTGAGGCTGCCCACACCTTGGCTCAAGTTTATCACAGCTGTAATGGAGGTTTTACCTGTTTACAGGCAGCTCCCAGTTCAGCTCATTATTTGACACATGTCCTGGCTCATCCTATTGCTGCAGGAACATCAAATTACAGGAACATCTTTATGGATGAAACTCAAGTCTGAGCTCCTGGAATCTCACACAGTCAATATCCAGTTGGCCTGAGGCTACAAGGCTCGTCTTCTTTATTTAATACAATGATAACCTTATTCTCTCTTTTAACTGCTTTCATCTTCTGCTCCTGCTCTACCGTATGAGACATAAACTTGAAGCACGGGGAGGTAAATTCTCAGTGATTATAGAGTATTCAGGTCAGATACATGTTAAGAGAAAGCTCCCATCTTCAGATACAACATAATTAGATGTACAAATAAACCAGAAACTGAAGTTTTGAGCAATGACCACCTGCAACTGAACCCAGCTGGCTACAGCAGAGCACACTAAATGGGAAATGGTTTTCTTCCTTTGCTTCTTGCTTCTCTCTCCTTGCTTTGGCGTCCTTCCTGTTTTTCCTCACAGGGTTGGCTTTCCCAAGTGCACAGCCATGAGAAGAACATGCAAAGAGTGGCCCACAAGCTCATTTCAAACCAGTCTGGCGCCCCTTGATCCAATTCCCTGTCACGTCTACAGGCCCATAGCGCACAGGGTGACTGCGCTGTTTTGGAGTCCACGACAGGAAGGGGAAGCCGGGCCCAAGGGCCACCCGCCTCACACCTCTCCCAGCCCGCTCCTAACATGGCCGCCTCGCCCGCTTCCAAAATGGCGGCGCCGGCACCATAGAGAAGAAGGGCGGTCCGATCTACACGCCGCGGCGGTCGTGTGGTAAAAGCGCACGGGTGGCATCTCTGCGGCGGTGGCCGCCGGGGAAGATGCCCCTGGCCGCTTACTGCCTCCTGCGAGCTGTGGGCAAGGGCAGCTACGGGGAAGTGAGCCTGGCGCGGCACCGGCACGACGGCAAGCAGGTAGCGACGGCGGTGCCGCCCCCTGCCGGGCTCGGGCGAACCGGGACCGGGGGAGGCCGCGAGCGGGCCCGGGGCTGTGTGAGGAGGGAGGCTCCGGGGTGGCCTGAGCGCGGCCCGCTGTGGAGGGAGGTGCCGCTGCGGGCACGGGCCTGCCAGGCCTGGCTTTGCTGCCTGGGCGACGGCTTTGCTTAAGAAAATGCTGTTTCCAGCAGTTTGAAATGGAAGAAAAAGGGGCAGTTTCCACGGAATTTCTGTCAAATATGTCAGCAGAGCACTGGGATAGGCACTGTGGGAATGTTGTCAGCAAAACGCACTAGCTTGTCGCTGCAGACACTGAAATTTAATAAGAAGCTATGTATTTTATGTATATGTGTATATATATACGTATATATATATATATATACACACATACACACACATCTGTGTGTGTGTGTATGTTTTGATACTATAAAGTCCTAAGTAAGAGCAGAGTCAGGTATAGGCTCTTCCTTGAAACGCTGACACAGGAGAAGTCACCACAAACTCGGCATCAGGGAGGGAATAAGATCAACCCTCAATATTCATGCTGTATACGATGAACACGTGCTACAAGCGTTATTGTCTCGCCTTTGATTTGGTTAAAAGTGGGAATTCTGTGAGAGTGTATTCACACTGATATATTGGGCAGCCTAAGTAACAGTTTTCATATGCAACCTTAGAAAAAACTTATGTTGACACAGAAGAAAATAAATTTATGGTTGCGCTTGAGAACGTTTGGTCTCGCGGTGTCATGAAGAGTGTGTGCTTCCCTGTGTAATAAGTTCTCATTCAGTGAGTTTAAACCTGTGTGCGTAGGAACTCGTAAATGCAAAACATAGTATGGTTTTCTGATTTTAGTGTAGGTTTTTAGAACTTAAAAAAATCTAAGCTACCGCTGCTTTCATTTTCGGGGGCGATTGATATTTTTTCAACCGATCTTGCAATTGCATCTCTATTTGCTCCATTCCTTTTTCTCATGGGAATTTTTTTTTCCTAGTCTCTCTTGTTTCTCAGTTTTCTAGGCTTGGGGAACAAAGTCATTAAGGAAAAATAAAAATAAAAATAAAAAAAACAGACCTAAAAAGTTCCAAGCTTAGTACTTTTAGATATTTTTTTTCTGAATTTGGAAATGTGAAATTTGTGAACTAAGTCTTGAAACTGAATTTTTTTAATGGTTCTTTTTTATCCTTAAATATGTGTTTGAATATGAATGTGTTCATCACATGCAGTTGTGAGGCGTTATCTCTTGAGTTTTTATTTTCTTTTTACAAAGCGCATAAATTTCATTTCTGAAGACCACTTGTCCTTAAACAAACTAAAATGATGAAAAAAAAGAGTTGATGAAGAATAGAGTAAGTCCAGCCAAATGACTTTTATCCTAAAAGTTTGTTGTCGTTTTTCTGCTGTGACTATGTGCTTTTTTTTAGCCTCATTGCATATTTATTTATTGTTATTGAAACAACTGTTTTTGAGAATTCCTCTGTAGAGCTTTATTCAGAGAGAATTTAGCCACACCTGTTAAACTTTTTACTGCATAACAGTAAACATAAAATGTACTTTCTAGACCACCGCCAGGCTCTATGCAGAATAATGTGTGCATATATTAAATACTGCCGTTCCTTTAGAAGTTTGGAATTTCCTGGGGCTTCTGCATGCTACCTTGGATCTTTCCTCATGTCTTCATGTAATTTCTTTTACAGTATGTCATCAAAAAGTTAAACCTTAAAAATGCCTCCAGCCGAGAGAGGAAAGCAGCAGAACAAGAGGCTCAGCTGTTATCCCAGTTGAAACATCCAAATATAGTCACCTATAGAGAGTCCTGGCAGGGAGAAGATGGCCTGTTATATATTGTTATGGGCTTCTGTGAAGGAGGAGATCTGTATCATAAACTTAAAGAGCAGAAGGGCAAACTGCTGTCTGAGAATCAGGTGGTGGAATGGTTTGTTCAGATCGCCATGGCCTTGCAGGTAAAATAAAAATACAACTTGGTTACTTTATAGACATAGCTCTCTTTCCATGTAAAAATGCCACAGTTAGTCTATAGATTTAAATTCCAGTTTGACTGGGTTTAGTATGGAATTACAATGATCATTAGTGCATTAAAAGTATTCACAGGTCGTTACCATCATACTGACTTTCTCTTCTAGGTAAAGAACAGGCTTTCCAACTCTAGCCTGAAATGTTTCTCCCATTTGAAATGTAAGGTTAAATTTACAAAATCCTTTAAAAAGCCACAACATCTTTTAGAAAGTAATTTGTAATTTTGTTGGTGTTTTTCGGTGATGAATTAAGGCTACTAAATTGTCATTTCTGTTAAATTTTATCTCAGTTTGTTGGAGTTTAATAATTTGGAGCCTATCAATCAAACTTTAAAAGCAATTGTTATATTCAAAAAGACCAAATGTAAATATTAACATTAGGATGTGAGGCAGTTGGACAGAAAATACTATCTTGATTATGACTGCTGTGGTCAGATACCACAGTAGACTTTTGTGTATCTTGTTTTTGTTTATTTTAAGTCTAATCTTCTATCCCCTATATAGATATTTAGATAAAATAAACACTGTGTTTTCCAGCGAAATTTTATGCTAAAGACTGTGAAATGAATGGCAACAAATGGGGGCCAGCAGAAAGTAGATTGAAGGCAGAGCCTTAACTTTACATTCGTCTCTCCTCCTACTTTGCTGGAGATCAAGATCTCACGCAGGGAGATTTCACTCAAACAACACAGTTTTGTACCTGTGTCTGTATTAGTCATTCTGGCATTAATTCCCTGACACTTCACCTGTGATGTGCCATTCTTGTCTTCTGTAGTGGTATATGTGACTTTATTGTGTTTGTATTTTCCCTCCTTGACTTGTATTTTACTTTTCAGTGGAATGTATTCGCTGTTGCTTAACTCTATTTATGCCCTTTTTTTTCAGTATTTACATGAAAAACACATTCTGCACAGAGATCTTAAAACTCAAAATGTTTTTCTAACACGAACTAATATCATCAAAGTGGGTGATCTCGGAATAGCCAGAGTGCTGGAAAACCAGTATGACATGGCAAGCACCCTCATCGGCACGCCGTACTACATGAGCCCTGAACTCTTTTCCAACAAACCCTACAACTACAAGGTAGAGACTGTTGAAGCAAATATTATTTCTGCTTTGTTAGGCAGCTTGATTATTATGTTTGCGGAAGGGCATTACCACCTTGTGTTGTTTGTTTGTTTGTTTTGTTTTGTTTTGTTTTGTTTGTTTTGTTTTAAAGTTGTTATTGCTTCCAAATCTCTTTGATGTCCTCGGAGTCCAAGCAGAGATGTGTGAGAAACTGAATTTATGGAACTGAGTTTGGGTGAGAATTAGCAGCATGTGATAAGTTATCAGAGCCAAAGTGTTAAGCAGGCTACTCTGCTTACCAGGACATGCCAGTGTAAACAAGAAAAACAGTCTGTGTTTGTGTATTATACAACAGACAGGAAGCTCTGTGTTTCCCTGTAATGCACAACAACAGCAACATTTAAAAAAAATCAGAAGAGAAGTGAGCAGTGTCACTGTGAGTTTAAAATAAGGTAAACTTGCTTTTCTATGCTTGGCTTGGCTCTTGCTACAGACCTCGTGCACCCTAAACTTGGGCATCTACCATGAGCATGAGCTAATGAAAAAGAGAAAGATTTTCTTTCTCCAGTTAGACCCAATACATTACTTATTTTTTTTTCCTCACAGAATAAACTTTTTGATGAATTAAACTATTGTCTTCCAAATATCGCTGTTAAAATAGATCAAAGTCAGACATTTACAATTTGGTCCGAGTTAGCTTACTGTCATTAATGGCTTGTCAGAAAGCAGGTGACCATCTTAAGGTAAAATTTGTGCAGTTAATGCAAAGCTCATAAAACTATTTCTTTTCTTTTTTTCTTCCTTTCTTCCTCTTTTCCCAGTCTGATGTTTGGGCATTGGGCTGCTGCGTTTACGAAATGGCTACATTGAAACATGCCTTTAACGCTAAAGACATGAACTCTTTGGTTTATCGAATTATTGAAGGAAAGGTAAAAACTTACCTAAAATATATGTTTTTATCTGGTTATGATGGCTTTTTGAAAGTCTTGAATAGTCTTATTTTGTTGGTGATGTTTTGCTTATTGATGTGCATCATCATACATGTGTTAAGATTGGTATTTCAGGGTATTATATGATGTAATATTAGACCCAGGCAGTTACTCATTTTTGAATACTACCTGAGCTTCCAATTATTCCTGCGTGTAGCTCATTAGTGAATTTCCAACTTTTTCTGTCTACTTCTGGTCTAAATGTTGTGCAAAGAATTATGTCACTATTTGTATGTACATCATTTTTCTGATAGGTAAGGCTAGCCTATTGAAGTGTAAAGTTAATATGAATTTATGCATAAATGTTTTATGTCTTTCATGCCTATTGCGAGGACAGTAACTGCTGATATGAAGAAAAAGTTAAGAAAAGTTCTAACACAAAATATTTGCAATTGCAGCATTCCGTTTGATAGATAGTTAAGCAATCTGGGTAACTTTCAACATATGAGGGGGGGAAAAAAAAAGACTATTTCTTACGCAAAGTATCTGGCATAATACAGTTGTTACTCAGAAGTATTGATAAATAACATCCCTCTTCCCTTTCGTTTTACAGCTGCCTCCCATGCCAAAGGATTACAGCCCTCAGTTGGTAGAGATAATACGAACTATGCTCAGTAAAAAGCCTGAGGAGAGACCTAGTGTGAAGAGCATCTTAAGACAGCCATATATTAAGCAGCAAATCTCTCTGTTTCTGGAAGCCACGAAGGCGTAAGATATTTTTATTTCAGTGATCCTGTGCAAAATTCTTTTTTCTGCTTTTAGATAGTACTGATGTTGCTGCTGTGCAGAATATGTGTGTTGCTGCTAGTGTCTGAATAGAGTTTTTAAGGTTCTTCTACAGCATTGAAGATGAATATGTTGTGTACAGGCTGTTGGAAAAAGCCCAGTGTCTTATAAGCATTATGTAAACTGCTTAGTGAAGTGTTTTTTGGTTTCGTGTTTTTTTTTTTTTTTTAATTGATGAAAGAAACGTCTTGAGGTCTTGTCGCTGGAGACTGAATAAGCAACTTTTATTACGTCCTTTACAGGAAAACAGCCAAAAGTCAGAAGAAAACACTGGATTCTAAACTCAGAGATCCTTGTTCTGCGGTCTCAGTTAAGAATGAATCTCATAACAGGAATGTTGCACACCAAAATCATTTCTTTGAGCACGCCAGGAAAAATAAGGTGGTAAGATATTCATACATACTTTTATATATATATATATGTATATATTTGTATGTAATAAAAAATGTGTGTTGTATATATGCATTTCTTTTTTCCCAAAAAAAGTGCATCTGCTGCTCTTCCAAAAAATCTACTCAGTTTTAAACAAAATGCCCTGAACTTTTGTCCAAGCATGGATCTGATTCCTAGAAATCTGTACTATTCCTCTTAATAGAGGATGTATGTTTATGTAGAGATGCAAGCAAATAAACAGTTGTGGTTCAGTAAAACTATTGGCAGCTTCTTTACCAAAATATGTTAATACACTTCTTTTGTTTTATTTTCTCTTTTGGTGGACCACGATGTGAAGTATTTTATGTAATTTTACGGTTGAGTTGAGCATTGGAATGTGCCATGGTTATAGCAAATATTTGCACGCGTCTCATGGAATATCTGAAGCCTCTGTCCAAGCTGATTTTTTGCTACTGATAGATGACAGGAAGTAATCATTTAAAAAAGACTGTTTCCAGTCTTTTTTTTTTTTTTACCAGAAAAACAAATTATGATTGCAAATGAAAATTCGTTTATTGCTGAGGTTTTTTCCAGTGGTTAAAACAAATATTTTATAAGCAGATCTTTTACCATCTTACACATACCTTTTAGTTTCTGCAGTATGAGTCCACTGTTGTGAGTTTAAGCTTTTAATGTTGAAATGCTGAATGTATGTGGTATCTTGAAAATCCACTGGGACTTACTTGTTCCTCCCTTATTAAAGAGTCAAAGGAATATGATTTTTCTTTTGTAGTCCTGGGTAAAAGTGGTTGTACTACATATATGTAAACCCATCCCCGGAATGTGCCATCTGCAGACGCAGTCTGCAACTCTAAAAATACAGGTTGCAGCATTTCAGAAGATACTAAGCTGTGGGTGATCATAATTTCATTAGTTTATGTACTATGGTACATTAATGATGTTCCTTAGGGTGCTTAGAATATTCTTTTATATGTGCATAATATCTGAGAGCTAATTCTCTTCTTTTAATTCTAGAATGAAAATGAATGTGTCATCAAGGATAAAGCCATCAAATTTTGCCCCTCAGAGAAAGCAGCTGTTGAGTTGGGAAGAAAACCAAGCAGTAATGATATGAACAGCCTGGGAGACTCCTTAGCTACAATTAGTAAAGTGGATATTGATATCTTGCCATCTGAAAAGAGGACATATGGAATTGAGAAGTGTGGCAATGAATGTATTCCAGAGGATAATAAAGCAAAGTATTTAAATGTTGCAGAGAATTCTAAACCAACATATAGCAGATCACTAATTAAAGAAGACAGACTGCAGCACAAAACAAAACAAGCTTTCAAAGCTGAAAATGTTGAGTCTAAGCAGTCTGCTGTTGATGCTGCAGACTGTGTTGATGCTGCTACAGATAATGATGACACTTTGAAACTCCTGCAGCCTGTATCAAAAACCCCAAAGCAAAGTGACCTGGTAATGCTTATGTGTACTTTGAAATAGACTTAGCTAATGGCCAGCACTTAAAATATGCAGAGCTGATGCACTTAATGGTTATCTATCAAAGTCAGATACTGCTGATGTAATTATTGAGATATTTAAGAGGTTATGAACCTAGGCTTAAAATTTGCAGAGGCAACGTGCTGTGGAATTTTAGGGCTCCCGTCTGGATGGTGAGAATGTTGTTTTCTATGAGAATAACAATCTTTCTTGTCTGAGAAGAGAGAGGACAAGAACAGTTTGGGGACAGGGTAAGGGAAGGAGCGGAAGAGTTTGAAGGCAGATGGAAGATGGGGAGAGGGATATTTAAAAAAAAGAGAGTAATACAGCAGTGTGGAAGGTGTTACTTTCTCCCTTGCTTTCCCTTTTCTCAAAGGTAGTTTTCTTCTTTTAGTTTCCAGTTATTCTTTTGCTGTTTGTGTTGGAAACTTGAGAAAACAGTGTTTCTAAAGAAATACTGCTTTCTGCCTTCGTATCTGGAGTGCTTGCACTCCTTTTGATAGTTGCTGGCTTAGAAATACTGGCTTTTTTCCCTTGTGCCCCGGTCCTCAAGTGTTACAAGGGTCTACTAAGAAAACAAGGAATATATTGTGTTCTTTTCTCCTGTTAGTGTATCTCAAAAGTGCCAGTTGTACATTCAACTCCTCTCACATCTTGTGCTTTGGATTTAAAGGTCTTGTATATATTCTGTCTGCTCAGTGTCACTCCTGCAGTCACATTTATGAAGCCAGCTTGCTTTAGATGATGACTCTCCTAGTTCTGATCTGCAATGAGATTTTCTTATTTACCTTAATATTTGATTGTTTTCTGATGAGTAATCATTATCTATTGCAGAACTTGGATTCTACTGAAAAGTTGCTAGAACCATTTGTTCCTGTTTTAATTCAAGTAAGTACTTAAAAGTTTGGTAGCTTAAAAAGGCTGGTAGAGCAGATCTTTTTTTTCTATCATGTAAGAATTTACTGTTTGGACTACATTTATCTTAATATAATCACCATTACAACCAAAATAAAGTGGCCTGTGTTGATAATACAAAAAGCATATATGTTTAAATCTGGAAATGGCATGCTTACATTTTGAAAAATAATTTTCCTTGTTAGGATGATGTCTGTCATGGAACTCCAGGAGACCCACAGGAAAAAAATGCCTCTCCTTTACAGCCTCATAGCTCTGTCCACGAACCTTCACTCTCACGGCAGCGACGGCAGAAGAAAAGGGAGTTGTCTGAAGTCTGTCTAGAGAAGGTGCAGATAATAAAAATAATTTGACTGTGCAAGTCTTCAAACCACATAACTCTTCTACTTTTCTCCTCTTCCCTTAAGGCTATTGCTTTTTTTTCCCTTTTTTTTCCTTTTTAAAAAGGAGCATATTTAAAATATATATATATATGTTTTATACTGTTCTCATTTCATGTGTATGAAATGACAGGAAGGTTGAAATGGGGAGTAGGAGCCCAAAACTCTATCTAGTTTTGCTATGCAAGGATGTGACTTGCAGGTTGTGGAATACCTCAGCTTTTATTGAAAGAAGGAATAAATTCTGCTCACTTCTCTTTCAAGTTCAGAGCTGTTGCTCCTCGGCCTTTACCTTTTCCTTCTGATGTGAATGCAAAGACAATACAGAGCTGTGCAGAGCATCGTGGTGAAGTCTCTGAATCTGTAATTAGCGCCAAGAACAGTGAAGTTGCCATTGGAAAGGTTAGTACTGATGCTGTGTGAGCATATCTTTATCTCTTGTTGTTTCTGAACACCTTGTTCCCTTAAAGTATGCACAGCAAGTGAAAAGATGTAGAACAACTTTCCACCTAATGGAGGTCGTGTCTGGTATCCGATCAGTGCAGGATGGGAGGCTTCCTTGCTGAAACAGGCAGGTCAGAAGTGCCTTTTCTGCAGCGTTTATTGGTTGTGTTGTTGTCCAAGAGCATTCTTAGTAAATCCTGGAGCATTTGTTAGTTGAGGGGAAGATTACTCTAGTAGCTCTCTCTTGCATGTTCAACTCAAGTTTTTTTGTTTCATAGGTGATACGTAACAAAAGTGATTGTGACAATTGCTAATTAACATGAAATTAACTTATTTTAAAGGAGCGGCCCTTGTCAGCAAGAGAGCGTAGGAGGCTAAAACAGTCTCAGGAAGAGATGTTTCCTGCTGGTAATTTTTATGTTTACGTGTTAGTCTTCTATATATGGAGCCTGGTAACTTCTTTGTAAGGAAAGTCTAACTCCCTCTTTGTTCTTTTTTTCTTCACTAACTTCTTCAAAAAGTTGCATGAAGGGCCTGGTTCTGGTGTTAAATAAAAATTTCTGTTAACATGTCCGTATTTTTCTACTTCTTATTCAGTTGTATTCAGTTGGGTTTAGTGGTGACAACTTCTATTTGAAATGTACGTGAAGCACAGGATTTGCACCTTTCAGATAGAAGCGTCAGTATTTTCTGTTAGCAGAATTCCTACCGCCTGTCTTCTGCCAGGTGATAGACTTTTTCTTGCATGAACATGAAACTAATTCAAGATACATGCCATTAAATTACAAATATTGTGAAAATGTCATCCTTTCAGTGATTCCAGCAAGACGAGGATCAATTAGTGCAGTAGTTGAAGCAAAATCACATGTGGAAAATCATATTAAAGTTGCTCAGGCCTCATCAGATCCCAGTATTTCTCAGGTAAACTGGGGTCATCTGTTTTTGAAATATTGAAATGCAGGTACATCTGGAGAAGAAAACTGTGTTTAAAAAATCTTTATGTGGAAGAGCCTCTCAGTTAGTAGGAATGTATAGTTCTCTACAGATACTGCTTTAGAAAACCTGGGTTAGAGTGTACGGGTCTGTGGTACACCTAGATCAGTTGAAAATTCAGGGCTGACTCCCCATTTTCGCTCCACTTGTCGGAGATGAAGGCTCATAGGGATGTCACGGGGGAGATGGTTGTTGCAGCCTCTCTGCATTGAAGGGTTTATTTGTCTGGTTGTGGGGGAAAAAACAGTTTAGTTATCCTGAGCCGCGATTTGGTTATAAGTGAATAGTCTGTTTTAAGTTACTGATATCTACACGCTACCTTTAGCTTTGCACATCTAATTTTGCTTTGGTAGTGGTGTATTAAAATATATTTTAAGGTGCAGTGCTGTTAAGTGCATACATTTATGTGCTGCCAATAAGGAATAGATGCTGGGTGAAAAATGAATAGTTTCTGTTAATATTATCTTCCTGGCCTAATTTTAAAACTCCTTTTAAGATCACAGACATCAGGGCAAGATCTTCTGCAACATCAGGAAACATTATTAATAAACAATAGATGCAAAAAAAAAACAATGAAAGAATTTTAGTCTAAATTTTCAAAGCATAGGCTGCATTTTCCTCAGCTCAGCACTTGCATGGAAAGAGTTTTGCATGTTTTACTTACATGTATGCTTATAACTGATAAAATCTAAATGCAGAAACCTCATCTGCACTCATCAACTGGGGTTACATCAGTTTAGTATGTGCCAATCATATGTGCGTGTGCTAGTGATGTTCGGGCATATTGTGCTATGCACGGGACACAAAACTGCAGAGGTACAGGGAAAAGGTTTATTTTAGGGAATGTGGGAAAGATACTGAATCAGAAAAATAATACTTAAATTCTGTTTTAAAATATATGTGTATAAAGACTGATAGATGGGCTAAGGATAGTGGCTCTATAATACAATTTTTAGATAAGAATTGATAAACTTAACCAATTTAATTGTTTTAATTGTTTTTAATAGAGATATTTGATAAAGCTTTTTTTTTTTTTTCCCCTCTGGTCAAAACTGCATAACTGAGAAGTAATACTAGCTAAAAAAGAAGTTCATAAAAGTATGTTCATGTTGTGGTGTAGATTAGCTTGTATTTAAAACCGGGCTTTAACTTTAAAACATTATCAAGTTAAGTCTATCAAGTAAAGTATATGTGATGAAAAGTATTTTTCTATGTAAGAAAAGTAATTTATGGCATACAGATAAATTACTCCTGAGAGCTAAGAATTTTGTCTGTTATTCCCTCTTCACTTAGAAAAAAAGAGGAACCCATTGCCTGTCTGATGATGAGTTAAGCTCCTCCACCAGCTCCACGGATAAATCGGATGGCAATTCCAAGGAGAAGTAAGGATTTTGTTTCATACAGTGCAGGAATTTTTCTCCGCTGTATTGGACAGCGGATAGAGTTGGGAGTTGCTGCTAGATGCTTAGGCACTGAATCTTTATCAGAGGAAATACTGCTAATGTTGCTATTGATCAGTCTGCACAACAAAGGTAATCTAACGTGAAATGTTTAGCAGGAGCTCCCCATATTTATTGCAAGTCCTGTGAATGCAAGGTGGCAGTTGCATCATGAGTGGTGACTGAATTGCTTCTGTTTCTCCACTACCAGAAAAAGCAGCGTGAATGAAATGAATGATTTGGTGCAGCTCATGACGTGGACGCTGAAAATGGACTCTAAGGAGAATTCTGAATGCTGTGCAGTCTCACCTTCTGCCTTGGAGTTTAAACTTCATAGAAAATACAGAGACACTTTGATTTTGCATGGAAAATCACCTGAAGAATCAGAGGAGTTCAAATTTGAAGAGTTTCCCTCAGGTTTGTTGCTCTGATACCTCTTTTAAATGAGTTGTGGCCAGGTGCTGCTTACCAAAGAAAACCTGCTAGTGGACAACAGAAGGCAGTCAACTGTTGTTTCTTGTTAAATCTCAGCAATACTTGTAGAAGTAACTAAAATCTCTAAACAACTTTTTTATTTTGAGTACAGAATTGCTCTAATTGCGATTGCCTACCAGTGAAAGGAGTGTGCGATCTATGCAGTTGTTCATATAGAGAGAAAGCTGGTTTGCAGTATAGTCTTTACCATATGATCTGTGCTTAGAAGCTCCAAAATGAACAGTTTGAGAGCAAACTAAGATTTTTAAGGCATCCAATTGAGTCGATAGCCATGAAGTTTTGTGATTGATGGTTAAAGCTGAAATTGAATTTGAGGCACAAGCCAGTATTTAAACGCACTGGATGTTCATGGGATTGTAGAAGTCCATCCTCCCTGCAGATCTTGCGTTAGCCAATTTATCCCACACCAGGAATCGAGTCATTTTGCAAAACCAGATAGATTTGTTGTTCCATATAAACCATCTCCAGGAAGGCTTTCAGGATACTTAAAATGTTGTCCCATACTCTTTCAGGCATGGACTGTGAAAGTGGATTATACTGCATGTAATTATTATGACTCTTGATTTAATAGGTCTGCACTCGGGTCCTGAAAAGATTAGGAGAGTGGTTGAAATCCTACGATCTGATGTGGTGCAGGGACTGGGAGTGAAACTTCTGGAGCAAGTGTACAGCATCCTGGAAGATGATGATGAAGGAAGGAGAGAGGTGAATGCCTCGCATATCCAAATTGTTTAATTTCTTATAAACCCACATATATGAGCAGTCTCCACTTTTTTTATTTTTTTTTTAAGATATTGATACAGTGGTGCAAGTCTGGACCCCCAAAAAGCTTTAGTTTACATAATTATTGGCAGGCCAAGGGCCTAAATATATTGTCATTTTCAGTCTTTAAAAGTTGTTTATGAATGTAGACTAGGTTCAACTCTCAAGTCTTCAGGAATCAAAGGAACTTTAGAATTATATCATAGTCCTTTAGTTTGTGAAGAAGCAAGAAAATTGAATACTTTTATCATGTCTTTTTTACTCTAGTAATTATTTTCCTTTGCACTGTAATTTTTGTCTTGACGTTACTTGCATATTCTTGATACATATGACTGAGCAAAAACTGCAGCTCAACTGATCAAAAAATTGGTTACAAATGAAATGCACGAGTATTATATATAAGTATATATACACATAAGTATATATACATATATATATATATAAGTAAATATATGTAAGCATAAGCAATAGATTTGATTTGCATTTACAATGGTCAGGTGGATTTGGAGCATCTCTTGCCATGAGACAACAAAGATGTTTTCCATTTATCTCCCCTCACATCTGTGTGATGAAACTTCACATGATGCTTCCAGCTGAGTGGTTACCTGTTCTTGTGTTAATATTTTGGTAACTCCTGCTGATTTTTATTATTTTAATGTATTTATTTTATATATATCTAAATAGCTGCAGTTGCGGGAACACATGGGAGAGAAGTACGCAAGCTACAGCGTGAAGGCGCGCCACTTGAAATTCCTCGAGGAAAATGTGAAGTTCTGAGCAGGTTAAAACTTTTCCCTTAGAGGGAAGAACACAGTTTTATAGCTTGTTTAATAGACTGGACCAGCGTATGAAGCACATCTGTTCATTGACCTCCTTTTTTGGAGTAAAGGGAGCCAGCTTGGAAAAAATAGTACAGATTTAGTTGAAAATAATATTTTCAATGTTAAAATGTGAACCAGGCTATCTCTTCCTCAGAAGAGGAACTGTATGTTTAGTTCTTATTCTCTTAATGAAACTTTAGAAGAGTTTATTTTATAGACATGAAGATGAATGGACTAAGTTTTGTAGAGAAAGCAGTGTCAAAAATGATGTTTTGGTTTGAATTAGTCATAGCTAATGCTGTACTGACAATATCACCTTACCAAAATGCAACAGAAATTTATACCAAGGTGATAGCACACTAAGGTATAAGCTACTGCATCAACTTTGACCAGGAAGGAATTGCAGGTGTTTACACACCTCTGTAAGCTGCTCCTTGAAAACACTAAAGGAGGTTGCTGAAAAACACTGTGAAAACACTAAAGGACAGTGACTTTGGCTGTAACTTTCGTGCTTTATTGCTGAGGTGATCACAAAGAGGGGGAGAAGCACATAGTAACAAGCCTGGGTAGGGTTGAAAGGAGCAGCCCTGGTTCCCTTCAGCCTGGCTGAATCACATCCCTCCCCCTTACAGCTACTGCTGCCTTTTAGGGATGAAAGTGGCCCCAGGCAGGACTGTTCAACCAGGTAAGTTTGTCTTAGCTTTTTCCATGGCCCTGCACCTTTATCAGATGGTGTTACCACACATGCCTAAGTTTTGGCATGTAACATCTTTAGTGAGAAAGCACAGGTGCTCTTCTGAAAGGATAACAGAAACAAATCTGTAAAATAAATTTTTAAACCAGAGCCTCTCTCTTTCTTTCCATTCCTTAAAAAAAAAAAAGACAGATTTAGCTCATATCTAACTTCCAGCCCCCATGCGAGGAGGCGGACAAGCAGGGGGCAAAAGGTGCAAGCCCTGCTGCCTCCGAGCCACTAACTACTCAAGCACCTTCAGGAGAGACAGCTACTGTATATGCAAAGTCAGAGTGTTATTTTTTCTGCATCCGCGAGTTTATTTTTAGCCATCTCCTTTCCTAGGACAGTCCCCAGTTCTTAACCTTTTTCAAAAGCAAGGATTTTGGGATATCCACAGACTGGATAACTGGGCAGTGAGAAATCTGTTGAATTTCATAAAAGACAAGTGCATGGTCCTGCACCTGGGGAGAAATAACCCCAGACACCAGGCTGGGGACCAACCTTCTGGAGGGCAGCTTTGCAGAGAGGGACCTGGGCATCGTGGTGGACGACAAGGTGACCATGAGGCAGCAGTTGCCCT